ACAGCCCTTTAAGAAGAATCTTGTCTGCCATCTGCCGGACACTTTTTGTTGTGCTCATATTTAGACGTCCTATTTTGCAAATGCTGCCTTTTTGAATTTGGTATTCTTGTTTGTCTTGGTGTCTATGGTGTATAATGATGTGATTGTGATGCTGTAATTCTGAGTGTTTTATGTGCTGCAGAACAGGAACCTGATGTAAAACAGCAATTATGCTGAGTCAGGCTTGATTTTAATAATCTTTTCCTGTTAAATAAATAAATCAAAATCAAATCAACCATTATTTTAATGAGTCAAATCCCAGATCTCGTTTGCAAGGGAGGCCTGTGCCAGGCAGTCTATTGCGCATGTTTTTATTTTTATTTTATTTGAGTTTTTGTCTGTGGGGAAACCAGAGTACCTGGAGAAAACCCATGCAAATATGAGGTGAACATGCAAACTCCACACAGAAAGACCCAAGGTTCAAACCAGGGATCCATCCATCCATCCATTTTCTGTACACGCTTCTTCCTTTTCAGGGTCGCGTGGGTCACTGGTGTCCATATCCAGCAGTCACAGTGCGATGGGCGGGGTACGCCCTGGACAGGTCGCAAGTCCATCACAGACCAAACCAGACAAACCAGGGATTGAACCCAAAATCTTCTTGTTGTGAAGCCAGTGCTAACCACTGAGCCGTGTAGCTCATGTTGTATTTTTGTTGATCCCATTGTTTTATTTTTGGATTTGTGTGTGTGTGTTATTTTTGAGTGAGGGCATCTGGAATGGAGTCTCTCACCTGTCTGTGCAGGGCTCGTGGTGAGGGGCAGGACACTGGTGAGGCAATGCAGGGAACTGTGAGGGTGGGACTTGACTGAGGGTGATGAGGAGAAATGTTTGGAACCTGCAGCAGCGAGCGGCTCTCGCAGGGCTGGGAATGGACCGACATCACTGAAACTGCAAGACAACGACAGGTCAAAAGTTCATCAGACAAGCCCAAATCACAAGTACCTATTCATACACACATGCAGTGTTGCTGAAAATTAAAATAATAATAATAATATATTCATGCAAGGTATTTTTCCTAAAACATTTTAGAAGCAAACACTTTATTGTAATAGAACATTTGAATTTAAAAGCTTTCTATACAAGTTGCAAGACAACAGTTCAGTTAGAATAAATGTAAAATGAATCAAATCTGCTATCATAATAAAGTGTTTGTATAAATGAAACTTGTTAGCACATAAGTTGCTATAAGCAGAAATGTTCAGTTGCAGCACAAAGCAAGTTTACAAAGATGTCAAAGATCAGTTTTCTAGTTTGTTACTGTATTCTGTATTAGAATCTGGTTACATCAAGTTTCATGTGACAATATAATCATTTTCAGATTAAAATGATTAGTCAGATGTTTTTGAACAGGTTCTGTAGAAAGGTTGTAAACAATTTATGGGCTTTTATTGTTACTTTTTTCTTTTATTTGTAGTGTTTTAGTGGTTTAGATAAGGATAAATAAAAAACCATGAGAAGCCAAATCTATGTAAAATTATTCTGTGAGACTTTGTAACCAGAGTCTTAGACATTCTGCACACACAGGTCAAGTAAACCCATGAGTTCAGACATCAGAGTTGCTCCATTAACAAATTCATCATCAATTCAAATGCTGAGCTCAAGCTGTAAAGTCACTTTTAGTGAGAAACTAAAAGCTCCAATTTCCTATAATTAGCRCATTTTCTGCACGTCCCGCTTTTGTGACTTTGCAGCTTGGTCATAAAGTTAGTCTTAATTCCTCTTTAGTATCCGGCTTTATCACGGCGGAGCAGATGAGCCAGTGTGAAGGTTGCAGAGATTCACATGGATCATCATCATCTGCTGCAGTCAGTACCTTGGGACAGAGCTGRGTCTGTCCACAGCCTGGCCACAACATGCCATTAGATTCTGACTATGGGTGAAACAGTTTATGTTAGTGTCTTCGCAATTGTTCTTTTAACTTTTTTTTTGTTCTTTTACTTTAAATTTTCAACAACAACAAAAACAACAATAAAAAATGTCAATAATTAGTTTTATGTTACCTGAATGCTGGTGCTGGGAACTGGGGTCTACCTCCTTCAGTGGGTGGGGGGCACTGGCAGGGCGCACGGGTTGAAACATGTAGCTGTCATATGGTAGAGAGCGCATCCTGGACACAGATATTTTCTGTGTGGACAGGTCTGGGTCATTGCATTGCTCCTCTTCCTCCTGCAGAGGGAGACAGACACCACAAAGTCTGACTCAGACGCATTTCATGCCTAACGAAGATTAAAAATCACTCCTTTTATATTTCAAATGTTTAGAAATGGTATTTCAAACTGCTATTGGTATCAGTTTTCTATTATAATTGTAACTTCTTAATGAATCAGGTTGGTCTCCCACCTCTCCAGGTGAACTGGGACATGACCCAATATAGGTCCCTCCAACAGAGCTATTGTTGGATGCTGTGCTTTGTCTGCGTTGCCTCTCCTCTTCCATTTCTAATGCAATCTCTGCATCCATCTCTGCATCCTCCTTAGCCTCCTGTAAAATCAGAAGAAAAAAAAAGAAAATGCATAACTTGCAACAAAATCTTCATACTGCTGGCTAATTTCATGTCTGCATCTTTTGGGACTGCACCTTGTTGCTCTCTTCGAGATGTTTCATCAAAACTGCCACCACAACATTGACCAGGACAAACTGGGCCATGAGCACAAAGGTGACAAAGTAAATCGGAGAGATCCAAGGCAGGTATGTGATACAGTGGCTATCATCTGGCAGGCACTCCCGTAAGGTGTCCTTTAAAAAACATAAATCAGGTTCAAGAAAAGAAAGAGAGTCAGGATAGAGAAAGAAAATAACATAGACAAGATACAGTAGATCACGTGTCAAACTCAGGGCTCACAGGCCAAATCTGGCCCTAGTTGATGTTTTATTTGGCCCCAAAGGTAATACTTTAAAGGTCAAATAGTGTTATGGTTTCTCTTTTCATCTCTGTTTTTAGTGCATTCCTCTCATGACAGCTTGCCAACTCTCAATCCAAAAAAAAAAATGTTTGAATTTTTCAGTAATCTTTGATTTTGGTGTGGAAAGAGCAACAGAAAATCAACTTTAATTAAATTACATTTTTCTGTATTCTTTTATTTTAACATCAAATAATAGGATTTTTAGCCAGGGACTGTCACAAAATGTCCCTAAGATGTATTAAATGAAAAAAGTTGTTGATAAAGAGTAAGGCATAAGAAAAGAAAGCTAAATTTAACATTTTTCTTTATTTGTTAGACTGTGTACGTTCTAAATGCTACAAAAAACATAATTTAGAAAATGTAATTCGCATTGCTACAACCATAATTTGTTATGAAACATTTCTTCAATAAATATTGATAGAAATTGGCCCTTGGCTTAGACCAAGTTTTAAATGCTGTCCCCTTGTGTGATTGCCTTTAACACCCTTGAGACAAATGGTCCAACTATCTACAAAATTTAAACCTTTTTTTAACACCAAAACTGTTTAGGAATGTCAGAGAGCTCTGCAGAGAGTTTGAAGTGCTCATCTGACCTTTTAACACTCTGAATACACAGCTCACTTGATGAAGACCAGGAATTCTACAAGGAGGATGGATCATATGTTCAAGGCTGACTTGTGTATTCATAAATTTATACACAACTTTCACACTACAAAAACGTCATTCCAGCAAATATGTTTTACTACAGAAGTTTCTTTTTGTCATTTTATTTTCAGTTTGCCGCTGAAAAACGAGACGTGGCCCCTCTTCTCAGCTGGAATTTTAAAAGGACGGCACTAAATATACTTCTGTGTGGTCCAGTCCCTAATTAATTATTAAATCCCCAAGTATTATAAACTCATTAGAATTTAAAATATACCTACATCATTTTTTTAAAATTCTGGACAGGTTTTTTTTAGCTTGCTGTGTATTCGTTCCTGCTTGCTGATTGGTTTTAGCTGGTAATGTTCTCAGAGTTTTCTCCTTAGTTGCTATTAGACATCCTCAGTGATTCAAGGTTCCAAATCTTTACACACCACCTGGCTTCCATTAGTAATCAGTCCTCCTGTTTCCGCTCATCATCACCCCTCCCTCTTCATAAACTGCTCCGTTTAGCTCAGTCAGATGTTATATTTGTTTCTTGCCACACCATCCTTTGTTAATGCATTTAAATAGATTAATGAATAATCCTGACTCTATTTCTTACATTTAGGTCTGGTCTATTACAAATCCATCATAATCAGTGGATCAAGGAAGCTCTTAGGCAAAAAGAAATAAACTGAAAATGAAAAAACTGCCATCATGTATTAAATTCCAAGCTAAGTGTGAGTTAGAGCAACGAATCCTGTTTGGTCTCGAGATGTATGTCCCTAAAAAGTGGTTGACAAGGAAAATACATGGTTTAAATTAGGTTTGTGTTACCAAATCAAAAATCAATTCAAGTAAATTTTCTGTTTAAATCTGAGGTTCTCAAAAATTGGAATAAAGTTGCACATTATTCAAAGTTTGACAGGCTCAATGACTTGCTTTAACTCAATGACCAAACCAGCCAACCTTCTATTTAATCCTGTAGATACCTTTCTATTACACACATCATTTTCAATACAATAACCTTAAAATATGGAATAGAGTTGACATTGTTTGGCTCTAAGCTACTTTATCCCTTCTTAATTGGTTTTAGAGGTCATTGCTCTCTCTGTGGTTTCAGATCATCTACACTTCATTTGTGAGAGTGTCACAGTGTGTTGCCATGTTTGTGTTCATACTTTCATAATCCCATTCCAGTTGTCTCCAGTGGATACTCGGAACAGCGTCAGAAAGGCCATCCCRAAGTTCTTAAACGTTGCGTGACGACTCAGACCTTCACATGGATTGTTTTCACTGCAATCTGATCAAAAGAAACAAGTATGCAGGACATCATTTACCCAGCAGGATGAAAAAAACACTGAAACGACCTAGAATTTATGATTGTTTAAATGTTGTTGAAAAATGATATGCAATGTGACAGTTTCATTAAATGGCAGACAAAGAAATGGAAGCAGTTTGTTGTGGAAAAGATGTTTCATTCTTCTCCCAAATGGATAAGGCGAGTGTTTGGTTTCACAAAACGGTTCTGCTTTATTGATTCGTTTGTGTAAGGCTAGACTGTGACATCCTGGGATTTATGGATGGTCCTTTCAATCACACTGCCATGAGGCAACCATGACAATTCTTTGAACATTTCAAAAAGAAAGAAAAATATTTCTTGGCATGTAACTGCAAGAGCCCCATTTAAAAAGCCCTAATGATTTAGCTGTACAAAAAAAGGAAGAAAAAAACTTGGAACAGAGCAGCTAAGTGTTACATCTCCTTGGACATGATAAAAGAAAGGGGAAAATAATTGTTTCTGGTGGACATGAAAAGTCTTAAGATCAGTTTTGACCAAAAAAAAATAAAAAATAAAAAAAAACCCTCAGAAGGCAGCGAGCTATATCAATCCAGAACATAGCTTGAGCTGCTTCGGACCCCGGGGTCACACGAACAGGCAGCTGAAGAGAATTGAGACGGTCCTTTGAGTATAATAAACCTTGTATCGCTCCGGATCGGCTACCAAGAGAAAAATGGAGAGGATTTAACAATGCCACCCTTCTGCTAAGAGGAATAAAGCAGCTTTACATAATAGGAAAATAGAATCCTGCTTGATTCACATAGTTCTGGTGTCTCAAAGGAAAGACAAACACATAGAAAAAAAACCTTTCCAACATAAACCTAAAGATTTTTGTCTTGATCTGTAATTACTTTGACAGGAAGACAAGACCCTCCTGTCTGTTCCTGTGACTCACTGCAAAGAGTGACATGAAGATATTGGAGGGGATGATGATTCATCTGAGTGTAGATCAAAATAAATTTTTAATTAGATTTAGTTTGGAGTCAAAATGAAACAGCTTGGGTGTCTGCTTTGCTTTAATGTCCAATTTTAGGTATTTTTTTATGTGAATCTATCGTCTGTGACCTCATCTTATCTGCTCAGCTCCCAGCATTTACCCTTACCCTAAATTTCAACTCACTTGAATATCAAACATCAGTCCTTAACAACACTCAATTTTCCTTTTGTGTATTTCTAGCTGTTGTTAAAGGTAGCGCAACTGTGTTTGCTGCCTGACCGGTTTCACGTGTTCCCCCATGTTTGTCTTGTATGTCTTCTTGAATGGGTGTTTCTTAACTGTCCCCTCCCACCTTCCGTGAATGTACAACACTTTGTGAATTTATTTCTGTGAAAAGTGCTATATAAATAAAACTTTACTTTACTTACTTTACTTTAACACATTGGTTTCAAGCCTGAAAGCAAAGTAGGGGTCTCTGCAGTATGCAGGGGGAGTTTCTTGGTGTGTGAACAGAGTTTGGCCTAACTGGGATTGGCGGAGTTCTTCAGTGTGGGCGGAGTTTGGAGTATAGGCAGAGGTTCTTGGGTTTGGGCAGAGTTTCGCAAAATCGTGATTGATCAAACTGACTTTCTTGTGGTGCTAGTTAAAAGATGAAGTAATGGTAATATTAAAATTATTGTGAACATAAATATATATGTATTGAATACAATAAATATATAATAATATTTATCATACCCCTGAGCTGTTGGCTTTGAGTAACAATGGTCCCCAGAGCAATTTGGTTGAATAGCCCTGTATTAATGTCTCAAAATAAGTTGCTTTAAAGCCAGCATTAACCATAAACTGCATCTCCCATAAAGAATGTTGATTATACATGGGAATTTCAAAGTTAGGGGAAAAAGAGTTCAGAATTCATGACTGTGAGTAAAACTCTCACAGCATACATTCAGTCATTCATACACATAGTAATTTAAAATGTTTATAAGAGTACACGGTAAAATGCTGTTTCTATGCAGAAAATGCCACATAGAGCTCAGTTATTGTTTGTTAGCAGTGCTCAGCCATAGCAATGAGACGAGGAACATAACGTTTCATATTTAGTTGTAGTCGAAGCCACGATAACACTCATGTGGCCCTCTGTGAAAATAAGTTGGACACCTCTGGGTTAGCACCTTCCTGTCTCGAGTTATGCCWAAAATTGATATTCTTTTTTAATATTACAGGTGCTTTCTGACTGTTCTGACTGGTGCACAGCCCCACAGCTTCCCAGAGTTCATCCAGTTGTTATAGCTTCTTCAAATCCCAGACAAAAGAGTCAATTGCGTCTCTACCAAATTCCTCCYAAAAAAAGTCAAACAGACCAAACATGTCTTCCACAAACTCTTCCCAAACACCAAGAAACTCCCACTTAGAGACTGCAGAGACCCCTTCCCCTGAAAGCTGAAAACAGTTGTTGTTTCTGCCTGTCTGTGTGTTTATCTGTAACCAACGTATCTCATTAAACTCAGGGAGTACTCATTGGGTGCACCTCTACAACTGATTTAASGTCAGTTGACCTTAAATAACATAAAATTGGCTATAATTCATAGACATGGATCTAAAATTTGGTATGTCTGATTTGAAGCAGTGTGCTAATTATCATGATCAGGAAAATGTGATATTTCCTTGGTTGCTAATGTGTCTTAATGAAGGATAAGTAAAGAGACAGAGGTCAAAGCGTGGATTCAATGCAAAAAGTTCAAATAAGAACACTTCACAGAACTGTGGTATTAACGACTGGATTCAAAAACTCATTTTTGCTGATACAAGTAAATCTTTATAGATATGTGTGTGTGTGTGTGTGTGTGTGTGTGTGTGTGTGTGTGTGCAGGCGTGTGTTTTCTTTTTATTAAAAGTGTGACTGACCCAGTTTGCCAAAGAGCTCCACTCCCAGAGCAGCATAGATGAAGAAAAGCAGCATGAAGAGAAGGCCGAGATTTCCCACCTGGAAGCAAGAACACGTGTTAGATTCCACTCTGTGTACAAAACACTTGTTTGCTTTTGCTTATTTAAAGCTTCACGGAACAGAAGGAATTCAATTTTATGTCGCCGTTTTATTGTTCTCATTCAATTTGACTCATATTTAACTGGTACATTTTTAAGAAAGATACAATTTGTCTCACACAACACAATCAAAGAAACAAGACATGGATAAGCTTAACTTAATTTTATCTTAGTATTTATTATTCTATAAACGACACTTTCAAAATGACTTAAGATATAATTTGGATTCAAAGTTTGAATAAGTAATGGCATGCAGAGGAGGTAATTGAATCATTTTAATCAGTTGTGTTGGAGCAGGGAAGAATGTAAAACATGCAGGTTAGTCAGCTTGAAAGACCAAAACTGAGAGCACAACTATATCATTATTGTCAGATGGATATTTTTATGATAATAAGATATAAAATACATTTCTTTTTCATTCAGTTTGAATAAAAAACAGAGTTAATTTAGCAAGAAATGACTCTGTAAAATGTTTAGACAGGGAAACATACAGTTGAAGGAATGCAAACATGCCATTTTTATCAGGCATGTATGTAATAAAAGACTACCAGTTACTTTACAAAYTTTGTTTACCAGGATGATGAACTAGACAGGCTCTGTTACTGTGTTTGAGACCTCACAGAGGCTGTGTTTACCTGCGGCAGCGCCTGCATGACAGTATCCAGCAGAGCTCTCATTCCTTTTGCCATCTTCAGAAGTTTTAGCACTTGGGAGGATACAGAAAAAGAATAAAGCTCTTGTCATATTTTTAGTGAGCTGCATTGCTGCAGAATTCATACTGATATTTGAAAGATGGTTAGACTTGAGTTTATTTCAGGGAGCAGGAGGCAAAATCAAAATTAGATACAACCTATAGAGGTTTAGTTAGGTTGAGTGTGTGTATGTGTGTGCGTGTGAATGTACCTCTTGCTATTCTGAGTACTCTCATGATTCTGATGATGGTAGGATTTATTGGCAACGCTGCTTTCATTTTCAGCTCCTCCAAAGTGATGCCCATTATGGACAATGCAACGATAGCTACATCCAGCTGATTCCACCTAGGATACAAATGAAAATGAGCTGTTAGAKGTGTGTATGCATGTAAGACATGATATTTGTGGGTGTGTAAAGACACTATCATTTTACAACTCTGAGGGAAAAACACTATCATCTGTTTTTTTTTTAAAGTTCACTATATATATTAAGGCGTGCAACAATACATGTACCCATATCGAAGAGTGCTTTAGGTTCAATACACACTTGTAACGAACAATACAGATTTTTAAAATTTACTTTATCAACTTGTCTTCTGAAGATGCTCTGTGTTAAAGGATCAGTGGATCTGTGTTCGACTACTCCACCTAGGCTGCATTTTTGAGCGCATATCCACTGAGAAACTTGCTGTTTCAGCAACATTTCATTTAAAAACTGTACTTTTGAGGGTAAACAAATATTCATAATTAATTTAAATAAAATACAAGTTAAAAGGGGCCTGGAAATTTCTCTTTTTTGTATCGAAAAAATATCGAACCGTGACACTAAAGTATCGAACCGAATTGTGAATTTCCTGCATCGTTGCACAGTAAATGCCTATATTAGTATTTTTAATTAACCTGGTTAGAGGTAAAATGAATGTAACATGTCCCTTATATTTTAATTTCTTGTTCATCTGTTTCAGTTAGAACAAGACTTCGTCCATTTGAAATAAACACTACTTTCTTTATTAAGAGTGTTTGTTAAACGGACATCAAGAGAAGAAGACTTAATTTTTGATACTAAAGAGTAAGCTGAGGATTTAAAATTAATAGGTTGTGTACCCACTTGGTAGACCAATCAATCAATCAATCAATAAATAAATAAATAAATAAATAAATAAATAAATAAATAAATAAATAAAACAAAACAAAACAGAATTTGACCCGGATAAGTCCCTGCGCTGGGGTACTTGGCTACAGATGCATAAAACCAAAAGAATACACGTGTTCCTGTGGGGGTGGAGAATCTTTTATGGCTTTTCTTGGTTTTCCTTTTGTTGTGTTTAGGATAATAAGAATGTGTGTTATACCAGCAGTCGTTATGGATTTTACCTGTCTTTAAAGAACCTTTGGAAGCCAAATGCAACAAGCTTTAGCAGGGCCTCGATGACGAAGATGAAGGTGAACACGTAGTTACAGTACTTAAGAACCTCCTCCAAATACTGAACAGAGACAAAAACAGGCACAGAAAAATGAACAATTTCATAATTTACACTGACTACATTACAATGCATTTGAATTATTTTATATTAGACACTTGTAAACAGGCACCAGCTCAGCCACAAGCCAGAACAGAAAAGCAGGTAGATGGATGAATTAAATAAAAGCAAGTTCAACTATTYGTCAATATATAGAGGAGACTGGGTTAAGATTAAACGATTTTCACATTTAGGGTCACTACATTATATTAATTTATTTATAATTAATTTTATTAAGGCAACCATAATKTGATCACTAATTTATATATGTGCATACATTTCAGGTTATTGTGCATCTCTTCAAACAATCAAAATGAGTGTAAACATAACTGTTTCTAAAATATGGCATGTTCATAAAAACATAGTGTATTTTATTTGTTAACAGAATGCTTTCAAAAGCTCAAGCTTGGGAAGCGAACATTAACATTTGGAAAGAAAACACAAGAATGAAATCCTTGTTCCAAAATCTCTTAACATAAACTGTTTTGCCAAATATCCCAATTTACCCCAAATCTACCATTTTCACTTTATTTGTTCCCACAGCTGCGTGGGAACTGCAAAGACTCCACAACAGGCTGCTGAGTAATTGGCAAGACAAACGGTGGCATCCAGAAAACATTTAGTTTTATGGGACATAAAGACATCCCAGTTATAACTGTATGCTTTCTCTCACCATCATGAGAAGAAGTTGATTATATGTCAGAGAAAAAAATCAAAAAAAAATTTCTACAACTTCATCTGTGTCAAAATTTAGAGGCTGCATCTAAAGAAAACTGACTGCATCACAGTGATGAGCTAAAGGCTGTGCAAATTCGAAGGCTCCTCTTGCAGTTTAACTGAAAGTGTAAAGCAATTGTGTTTTTAGGCTTAGGCTTTTTGTATAGACATGTTTTTAAATAATTCTTGTCAGAAATAATCATAAACAAGCTCGTATGGAGGATCCCTTAGTTAATGTTTTGCATCTAAACTAATTCTGTTAATTGATAATATTAATATATTATTATTTTCCTAATTTCGATCTTCATTGCTTCTGTTTAATGTTGTCAGGGTTGCTAAGTGACAAGACATACGTGGGAATTAGGGCGGGAATAAATCTGAAAGCTAGACTATCCAAATTCACCGCTCCTTTCTTCCGGTCTTCGCAGTCTACAAAAGACCCGGCTCATGTTGACCAGATAGGCTGGGTCATTGGAAGATTGCAGCCAAATAAACAACAAAGAGGTGTTACCAATGGCCACTGGATGACTGTATGCATATAGGAAAATATGCATACATGCATGTGAAGCAGTGAAGAATTCCTTTAGGTATTACCTAATCAAAATTTTAACTTCTCCTAAAAGTTAACAGTGTGTGCAGTTACCTGTGGCTGATTGTAGTGCTCAATGCTCATTGTGAAGACATTGATGCAAATGATGAAGGTGATGAAGAGATCCAGATAGTGGCTTGTGCACAGTGTGTGAATGGACAGACGCACGGGGGAGTAGTCCGCATAGTACGGCCTCTGCTTGGCTTCTGAAATGCACAAACAAAGCAAAGCAAAACACAATGAGAGACACATCTGTGACTACCTGAACTGTTAAAACGTCATGTGCCCAGTGGTGTGCACAGCGGGGCAGAGGGGTTGAGGAAAGTGATCTCCACAGTCTTTGTTTGGGTTGGATAGCCCATTTTTTAGTGTTTTTATTCAACAGACACGCTCGTGTCTTGAATTGTGATCAGATATTTTGGCAGAGTTTATCTGATTATCTAACCASTTCCTCAAATGATCTGTGCACACGACTGCTTGTGTGATCAAATGGGAGAGGACATGAGTAACAGTTAGGCTTCTATTGTACAGCTTTTTGTATAAAGAGCTCTAGCTTRTGTTGTGTTCACATAAGTGCTGAATGAAAGCAACCAGCTGAAGCCAAAGGAATTATTATCCTGTTTACTGTTTGTTTTTAACAAAMCAACATGCTAGACTTATCTTTGCTTCACACCATGTAATTGTTTTCCAAAGGAGAAAAATGGCAAGAAGTAATATAATATATTTTTTTATAAATTACAGTCTCTCTAATAAGTGACATAAAAAAGGCCTGCAGGCATTTTATGTGGCCTGCAAGAGCTTCAAACATGCAAAAATGTCTTAAAATAGTCTTCTTTAAAGCCAGSCTTGACCATAAACTATGTTTCCTATGATGCATGTAAATTATTTCAAACATGAAATGACAGCATTCCACCACAAAGTTAAGGTGCACATGGTTCAAAAGTAGCCGGTAGCTGATAACTGTTAGCCAGTAGTCCATTTTGTTGCATGTTTGTTGTCTACTTTTGCTGCAGCCCGGTGTTTATAAGAGGATAAGTTACAATGGTTGCAACTGGCTCTTTGAGGGCCACAAATAAGGCTCATGTGGCCCTTGGTGAAATGAGTTTGACACACCTGCTCCAATAATCCATTCGGTATTGTAGACATGTTTCTACTTGTGTTCCACTAWGATCTTAAAGGAAACTACAAGCATTMTGTTACTGCTTCTAGATAAAACCGTGACCTGGTGTTTACTGAAATATTTTCTGTTACACGTTTCACCCTATTGCACTCACATGGCCTTAACAAAGGTCTTGAGTGTGCCAGTCTCTGTTACATCATGCCCTATCTGTCCTTTTCATGCTCATATTTGATGAAATGTTCATGATGTCAAGAGGCTTCCCAGGTTATGTTCAACAACACACCGTTCTCAAAAGTATAGCACAAGTCTGTGTTAATTTAATGCCGAGTCTTTTATACTCATTCCCAATTTATTTATCAGCTTGCAAGCTAGAAGACATGGCTGTGATGTTGAAAGGAATAAACACTGGAGCCTCTTTCTGGATAAAATCTCAGTGGTTCAAAAAGTATGCTCTTCTTTGAAATGATGGATGAGTTTGGACAGACTGCATGGCCAAACCCTGGAGTTAGGGGTTATTAGTGGAGCAGCTGAGTTTCTTTCTTGCTTTTTTTTTTTTTGCTGAAGTTTTGGACCAATGAGACTATACAAAAAAAGTAAAAAAAAATAAAATAAAATAACACACTTTTCTGCTTACACCATATAGCTACAGCCTTAAAATGTGACTGTGGAGCAATACAACGTTAGTCCCTTATTTTTAGTTTGATGTAAAACATTGCAGCATATCACTGGTGTGTACAGTAGCTCAGCTGTATTCAAGCATAATCAAGCAAATGTGAATAAAATAACTTATCTAAAGAGATAGTTCAGATCGTTTGCTAAATGAAGGTTATGGAAAGCTCATGAACATTTAATATATTACCTTTTGTAGATAAATTCAAAAATAATCTCTGAAGAAATAGCTTATTTCTCACAGATTTGTGAACCAAAGTCTAATCTGAGGGCCCAAGACCAAAGTGTGTTGCAGCCTTTACATTGCTGCCAATTTCATATAACATAGTTAGGGCTTGCCATATAAAATGAATTCAAATTTCTTTTGAGACAAAAAGAGAAATCTTATGAAATGTGCTCTTGTTTTTAGCTCATTTTATTAGCTTATTTATTTGTGTCTGAATTTTTTAATTTAAATTTTTTTGTTTTGTTTTATTTTTTTGTGTAACTACTTGTGTGTTTTGTAATTTTTGTCTTATAACAGGTCTCTCTTGGAAATGAGATTCTGAATCTCAATGAGACTACCTGTATAAATAAAGGTTAAAAATATATATAAATCTTTGAACTGAACAGTTTAGAGTTGTCTTTTTTTATCGTTAAACTTACGTTAATTTTTTAAAAGATTCGTCCGGATGTTGAAGTTAAACCTGAAGTGTTTTCTTACTTTAAAGAACTGAACTCTTCAAAAGGGACTTTTAGTCAGATTGTACTGAATCTGCTGCCATTTTGGCGGCAGATGAGCTTGCTCCTGATTGGCTGCTCAGCTCTGACTTCTGATTGGTGGAAGAGCCGATTAGAAAACTTGGTGGTGCGTTCAGGGAACAAATAACAGAGTTAGTGTTTCTGTGACGAAACAGCGTCTCCTTGACCCAGAGCTGACGGACACTCCTCAACCCCCCACCCGGTCCACCCGCCCCYACCCCACTACGGGGTGTGTGGGGGTCTTCAGGGCCCCTCAGACCTTGACTGACTGATTAATGGACTGGACGGCAGTCAGCTGGTGAGATTAGAGGAACGCCGCCTCCTCGTCTGGGGACGCCGCCGTAAAGAGAAGCATCCAGCAGCCAACGTGCCAACCCCCCCATCCCAACCCCCCACCTCCTCTGGAATCTCAGACGTTTGGGAAATTAACGCTGGCATGGAGGAAACTGCTTGCCAAGCCATCTGAGATCTTCCTCCTCCTCTCCCTTTTCCATTTTGTTTGTGCCCGCTGCCTGATTTCCCGGCCGGAGTTTTTTTTTTTCGGCTCAGCGTCAAATCCCCGCCGTCCTCACGGATTCTCCAGATCTCATTACAGTCAATGAGGCTGCAAAGACTTTCAGATCAAAGTGAAAGACTTCAGGAGGCAGGGTGGGGGTGGGGGGTGGAGTGGGGGTGTTTGCCAAACCATGTGAGGAACATCCAGGAACATCCTCAAAAACAAAATCCGCTACAAGGTCCTTCGCTGCGGTTCTCCTCTCTCTGGTTCTGAGTCGTTAGGAGACAAACTCAGAAACCATGATTTTTATTTAACCGTCTTCATTTAAAGGGATTCACGATTAGTTGTAACATTAGGCTTTATTTGATAAACATATATTTAAACTGTAAAATAAAGACTGTAAAAATAC